AAAAATATGGCGGACTTTAAGAAGATATGGCAACCATTTCTTGATTATCTGACATTAGTGGAAAAAAATGACATATTGATTACTGGTTTTGTATATTAAAGAATTGTTTTAATAGAAATAATAGTAAAATAGATAAAACAAAGATAAGAGATTAAAAGTAATATAATTACTGGTATATTTACAATGTTTGATAGTTGGAAACCACATTTTAAATGGGTTTTTTTCTTCTTTTTTTCTTTTTTTTTTCTCTCCTTCCTTCTTTCTTTCTTTTCTTCCTTTCTTACATATGTCAGATTAAAAGTAATATAATTACTGGTATATTTACAATGTTTGATAGTTGGAAACCACATTTTAAATGGGTTTTTTTCTTCTTTTTTTCTTCTTTTTTTTTCTCTCCTTCCTTCTTTCTTTCTTTTCTTCCTTTCTTACATATGTCCTTGTCAGATTTATGTTTGTAGATCTTAATTTTCTATATTATTTGTTGCACCTAATGTAGCCTGTACATAGCATTTTATAATAAAGACATATAATACAAATAAAGAAAATAGAGGGGGGAGAAGATGGCAAACGTGGTACATTCCTATGGCATGAATCGTTCCATGATTGGAACGATAATTAAGAACAAAGGCGAGATCATGAAATGTGAAAAGCAGCGCCTATGCAATCCACGATAATAAGCAAGAAGAGAGGAAAGTGATGGAAGAGATGGAGACACTGCTCAGCATGCGCATCGAAGATCAGCAACAAAGGTGCGTGCCACTTAGCCTAATGCTGATCCAGGAGAAGGCTAAGAGCTTATTCCATGACTTACAACAGAAGGCTGGTGAAGGTGCTGCTGAAGAGGTGTTCGTTGCAAGTAATGGGTGGTTCCAGCACTTTAAGGCTCATGTGAACCTTCATAATGTGAAAGTGACTGGTGAGGCAGTGAGTGTGGATGAGGCTGCAGCAAAGTTGTTCATAGAAAACCTCAAGGAGATCATTGAGGAAGGTGGTTATTTGCCCCAGCAAATATTCAGTGTGGATGAAACCGGGCTTTATTGAAAGAAAATGCTGGAGAGAACGTACATCAGCAAGGAGGAGAAGACAGTGCCAGGCTAGCTAGCAGACAATGCCAGGCTAGTTAGATAGGCTAACTCTGCTGCTAGATGGCAATGCTTCCGGTGGCCTGAGCCTAAAGCTGCTGCTAGTCTACCACTCTGAGAACCTGCAAGTTCTCAAGAACATCTCAAACAGTTCACTTCTTGTTGTGTAGAAGACTAACAAGAAAGCTTGGGTTGCCCTTCTCATCTTTGAAGACTGTTTTTTCCTCCATTTCATCCTGGAAGTGGAGAGGTATTGCTGTGAGAAAACATGGACTTCAAAATTCTGCTCATATTGGATAATGCCCCAGGTCATCCACCTTACCTGGATGGTTTCCATCTGAATGTGAAGGTTGTATATCTCCCTCCCAACACCACCTCCCTCCTGCAGCCGACGGACCAGAAAGTGATAGCAACCTTCAAAAAATCTTCACCACGTGTTTAGGCAGCCGATGGACCAGGGAGTGATAGCAACCTTCAAAAACTATTATCTTCACCACATGTTTAGGCAGGACTCCCAGATGACCTTGCACCAGTTTTGGAAGTCCTACGATATCTAAAAGGCTATCAAGAACATTGATGCAGCCTGGTGCAAGGTTACTCTACAAACATAAACGGGGTGTGGAAACATCTGTGCCCTCAGTTCATTCATGGCTTTTGCAGGTTTGAGGCAGTGAAAAATGAGTCCAGGATGTTGTCAGCAACTTGGTTGCCCTTGGCAAGGAGTTCCAGCTCAACCTGGAGGAGGAGACTTTGATAAGCTGCTAGTTGCACACATGGAAGACCTCTCCAATGAAGACCTCATGTAGTTGGAAAAGCAGCGAAAACAAGAGGAAGAGGAAGAGATCGAACCACTGAAGCAGTTCCAGACCAAGCTGATGGCAGAGGGGTTCAGCTTGATTGAGAAAGCGCTATCATTGTTTGAGGTGCAGGATCCTAATGTGGAGCGCTTCACCAAGGTGTCTGCAGCTGTCCATGATGCAATCCAGTGTTACAGTGTCATTTATGAAAAGAGGAAGACCACCACCCAAAGTTCACTGGATTGCTTCAGGAAGGTGGAGAAACGTGCCGTTTCAACTCCAAAGGACAAGCCTACGCCATTGCTGCAAGCTCATTGCTGCTGCTTATGTAAGGTAAGACATGTTTGTTATGCTTGTTGGATTTGTGAACAAAACGGACTTATGAACAGCCTCTTGGAACGTAGCCTGTTTGTAAGTAGGGGACTGTCTGAATTTTCCTGGAATGTGTTGGTACTGCGTGAGCTTAGGAAAAGATGCAGCTTCTTCAAGGAGGTGCCAGCAGTGAATGTACCCATGACCCTTTTGTAAATGTAACCCCTGTGTTTGCTTTTAGATGAAACATTAAAGTTGTTAAATGAGCTGACAAGCAGAAGATCTCTTCAAGTGCCAAATATATATTACCACTTGCCTCATTTGTTGAAAAATGAAGGAAGCCTTCGACCCTCTGTACATGTTGGCCTTGGACGAACAGGAGGTAAGCTAGCAGGATCAATATGATTGATAGTGTGATGTACTTAAAGATGTACTGTACATAAACTCTGTTGTAAGTAGATTCAGTATGACTTCTGACAAACAGAAAATGAAAGGACTCTTATTTTCTTTTGTTGGGGATCTCTTAGAATTCAGATTGAATCCAAATTAAAAAAAAAGTTTGTTTTCAACCTTTTCACTTATTGTTTCATACAGATCCTACTGTTTTGATGTTAAGGTATAATAAAAACCATGGATTTGAAACAGCATGTTTTTGCCTTAATTTTTAAAAATAACAATGCATGAAATTTTGAGATAATTTAACTGATTTGGATGCTGTAGCTTTCATAGATCTTTAAAGGCAAAATAAGTAATTGGACTAGTTTATCTTGATTGTTTTTCACAACTATTTCAACAGAGTCAGTAGTTTTAATAAAATATCATATTTAACCTGATTCAGTGATTATCTTCTTACTCAGTTGTTGATTTGTCTTTGCTTAAATAATGTGAACAAATGACTCCTCAGTAATTAGAATGGACATTGAACATGTAGTAGGAAAACATACATAGAGGACTTCAGACATCATGATAAATGTATATTTTCTGCTCAGAAATTATATTCCTAAAAATATAATGTGCCTGAGAAAAGTTATCGCTGCTTTAAGAGTTGTATTTTAATGAGTGGATTCCTTATAGCACTGAATAATTTTTCAGAAGCATGAAAAGGATTGGTTTCTTTAATGAAGGCAGATAGGTAAATTCCTGTTTCACGTGGATTCCAAAGCACTTTTTCTTAATTATTTTTGAATGGCACATATCTCTACTTGTTACATCCAGTTATTCAGAGACATATACAGATTAAATTAAGGTTCGGGTCCAGATAACAAACAAAAATGTCTTTCGGAATAAGATTAATGTGGTGAGATTTTTTGCCTAAAGAACATTTCTTGACTCCTTGGATTCAGTCAGTTACTTTTTTCCTATTTTGATTCCTCTTTTCCAGTATCAAGGTTCAGGGAGTTACTTCTTAAAATTTAATCCTCACACTTAAATCCAATATTTTATATAACTATACAAAATCATCTTCAGAAAGGGGTACTACTGAATGTTTGTCCTGCAAAATGGACCAATAAGGAAGGAACACCGCTCTTGAAAAATGCTGATTAGAATTTTGGAGTACAGGTAGCGCCCAGTTTAAGAACGAGCTCCGTTCCCAAGGTCTGTCCTTAAGTCAAATTTGTATGTAAGCTGGAATAGTATTATTGTATAATACTGTATAAGTAAAATTGTGTAATTAACTTGAACTGTTGTGTATTTAACTTGAATCATTGTGTATTTAACTCAAATTTTGTTACAGTAGGCTCTGTTCTTAATGATGGGTCGTCCTTAAACCAGG